GAAGCCCGAAAAATCGACCGCAAAGCTCGACGTTGATTGGCTAATGGACAGGTCACGTGATCACCACTGTTTGGCTGATATCGGTGAGTACAGAAGGTTCTGAAAAAAAAAAAAAATCGGCAGCGACTTTTACCTTTAAATTTCTATAATGAATGAAATGCATTAGAGAGAATTGGTCAAAGAATTGGTGTGCCACGCGACGTATATTTTCCCGCTATATCTAGCGGTAAAAAAGAAGGGTTGTATAGTTAACATGATTCAGGTCACCTGACGTCGATTTCCCCCGCTAAATTTAGCGGGGAGACTCTTTAGGTCACAAGACGTAAATTTTCTTGCTAAACTTAACGGGTAAGTGAATTGTTGTATCGATCACGTGACGTCAGTTTCCCCGCTAAATTTAGCGGCGAAACTGAGTTGGTGTTTTGACCAAATAACGTGAATCTTCCCCGCTAAATTTAGCATGAAAACTGAGTTGACGTATATAGGTCACGTGCCTTCAATTTCTTCAAGATGTATAGGGTACGTGAAGCCACTTTCCCGCCAAACGTAGCGGGGAAACTGAAGTAGTGTATGGACACTTTCAGGCAACTTTGCATGGGCGCCGCCATCTTGGCATCACGTGACCCGCCCGCCACTGCCGACCTCTATACTTTCCCGCTGCTGGACTGCGCGTAGCACTGCGTATAACGCGCCGTCCACCGCCGGGGGTGTTATATCCCGGACGGTGAATGGGTCGACGACAGAATATTATGGCATATACTTCACAGACCATGTAAGGTTACATTTGTTACGTTTTGTTTCTTTTTTTTTTTTACGAAAATAACGGTAGTTGAAACCCTGTGCGACTTCTGCAAATGTCGAGTCGACGCAGCAAGGGCTATCGCAGTCTTATCTATCGCTGCATGTGCGTTGTTTACTCGTCGTGGTCTTGTTTCTAGCTGCATTTGGGCACTTTAATCACGTAGGCGATTTGGCAAGCGAAGAACTTGGCGATCAGCGACGGGCTGGGCCGTCCATAGAGCAGATTGCTTGCTGTTGTACGTTGCACCGCTCGGTTGTAGGAGATTCCTAGTAAATTTTGTTCGTCGCCCGGGAGTCGCTGCCATGCGGTCTTTGGCGCTGCGCCTCGTCGCTCATCAGAAAAAAAAAAGATCGTGTTCGATGTTGGGTGGACCGAGTTACAGCAGACGCGTCAAGGGCGTAATGGGGCGACCTCTACGCGCCCCCCCCCCCCCCCCACCCCCCTCCACTGCGGTCGCCCATCGTCACACAAACACCCGCAAACGAGACAACCACGGATTGCAGACGCAGTCCAAAACACAGGCCGGCAATGGCGGCCCCTGGGGAGCGCGCCGCTCGGGTAACTGACGCACTGAGAGCGTCTGCAGGTGACGTGACATCAATTTTCCCGCTAAATTTAGCTGAGAAGCCGCGCCCTTGTTTTTCTGAAGGCACCCCCTTAATTCGCAACGACTCCTCTATTCTCAAGTCCCCACCTAACCCCCCCCCCCCCCCCCTTTTAATTTCAATTCTTGGCGAAACCTTTGCCCGTGAAAACAATCAGTGGTGTAGGCAGAGGGGAAGGGTGAAGTTTGGGGTTTCCCCCCCTCCCCATTACTCACCTAAAACAATCCAGCCCCCCCCCCCCCCCCTTCCTCCCCTTCATGGAGATTTCAACCCCTCCCGACAAAAAGTGTTTTGCATATCACTGTAACTGTCAAGGCGCGAAGCTCGACGCTTCAACGAAGAATATTTCAGGTTGAAAACTAAAATAACTGTAAGTAACCCCATGTAAACGCCCTGGTTCACAACACTGCGTACAAATGGCACAACGGCTGTTTCTGCCACGTGGCAGCTAATTCAGATCAGCCTGTCGAAGCGACGAAGCTCGTGTAGCCATCTTTAATTAACGTAATTCACCCTAAAAAAAAAAAAAAGAAGAAAACAACTTTATATTTTGTTGTTGCCACTCATCTAAAGCGTTTCTCTTCTTTTCTTTTTTTTTTTCTTTTTTTACTCGGGTAGATATAAGACATGCTGAGTTTACATTCGTGGAGGCATGCTCGGTGCACCTTTTAGTTAAGCGCCTTTTTTGTCCAGTCAGAAGCACTAGGATCTGCAAGAAGTTACTACTCGGTGGCCGGGCCCTTTGTTGTAAGGGCTCCTACAACAAAGGGTTCCTACAGCAAAAAGTCCCTGCAACGAAGAACCCCTACGGCGAAAAGCCCTTACAACGAAACGCCCTTAAAACAAAGAACACCTTCAACCAAGAGCCCCTACAACGAAAATGAAGGACTCGTACAACGAAGGGCCCCCACAACGAAGGTCCCTATATGCAACGAAAGGCACCTATACAGCTTCTGGTTTTAAAATATGCTCGTCAGATCGGGATTATCTATCGCTACGAAACAGGCGCATGCGTTAGGTCTGGGAACATTCTCCAACCCCAAGCAATAGGTTACTGTCTACCCAGAGACGTAAACTATTAATCCTATAGCAAGGTGAAGCCGCGGTTACGCTGCAAATACATCATTAAGAAAAAAAAAAAACTGTCTGCAGGCAATTCTGTCATCATGTTCTGCAGGCCGTGTCTTTTGTACTTGATGTCTGAGTGGTGCATGATACGCTGCGGCTTAATGCATCTCGTTGTCCCACTTACCGCATATCGTCTGGACGGTATACGCATCTTTCCGATATGCCGCCAAGAAAGTGTATCTGAGGGGAGTTTCGTACACTGAAATACTGGGTGTAAGCGCTTTCTAACAACTGCCGCTTTCTACGCTCCATTATTGAGCAAAGGAGCGCAACAGCGGCCTATCGGTTGAAGCTGCGTTGTCGGTTGCAATCACACGTCTACTAGCCAAAAAGTAGTTGAAAACCTTTTTTCTCGTAACCTCGATGGGATATATATATATATTGTTTTTTTTTTTTTTTTTTTTTTTGCGCAGAGTTTGCGTGGAACGCTCGTATAATAACTCAAAAATAGTAGAAACATATAACACAAACGTCTCACGCAAACATGTAGCGCACAAGTGTCAGTCGGCCGGAAGTTTAGCATGCTGAACTTCCGGCCGACTCGCGCCCTTCTAATTTTAGCGGGAAGCGTGTTTTCCCCGCTAATATTTGCCGAATTGAGCGTGACTCCCGAGCCCCAGAAAAAAAGGCTCGTAGACAATGACATCCATCGCAGCTCGAGACACGCGCCGCACAGTGCCGGATCCAAGGGGGGGGGGGGGGCAGCCGCCCCCCCCCCCCCCCCCAAACAAAGTTGACCCCCCCCCTCCCCCTTCTTGGGGGTCAATGTGACGTGGGTGAACCCCCTGGTGCACACGAAAGAATTGGAGAATAGTATCCTTACAAATTTTCCGCCCCCCCCCCCCCCCCCCCCCCCCCAAAATGCGCCCCTGACGCCGTACAATCTGTGTCTTCCAACACTCTCCGTGGGACTAAAGATATCTTAACCTTTAATCTTCGCGATGTTTCTCGAATGTATCTCTTTGGTTTATTGTCCCTCGTGATGTAAACATTTTTACATCGAACAAACTTCCCTTTCGTGAACAATTTGAGTTTCTTCTCTTACTTACTTGAACAATTTGGGGTTCTTCTCCTTTTGGTTATTCCCGAACAAAACGTTGCACGTCTGCTTCTACGAAAAAAAAAAAGATGCGAGACGAGAAACAAAGGAAATGTGTCTGCGTGTCTGCGCTCTCTACACTGTCGGCGATCATTTGTCAACCTGAAAGTGTAAAGAAAAAAAGATGCACGTAACGAAATAAGAATTAGCCGCGTAGTTAGTTGAACGATACTGTCGAGACCGGTTCTAACGAAGTCAACGGGAATCGGAAATCACTTCGATATATCCGCTATTTCGACATAACCGAGTTCGGTTATAACGAAGTGTAAAAGAGAATGGGAAATCGCGATCGCTTCACTGTAGCCGCTATTTCGTTATAACCGGTCTGGGCAGTATAGCCTTAACGGTCTCGCACTGCCAATACACAATACAAAGGGACAGTTTGCAGACATGTTCCGAGGGCACAAAATGTGCGAAGCAAAAAAAAAGTGCTTCAAACAGACTTGAGTTGTGCCCGTTGGTAACTTTGTCGTCGCGGGTATACAGCGAACGCCGAGTCCCTTTTGTACGATGTGTATGCGAGCAGTGCGGACTGCGGCTTTAGTCTCAAGGCTGGTTCACACATTCGCGTTTGAGTCTGCTTGACTGCGCTTTGCGCTTTCCGGGTAACGGCGTGCGTCGAGAGAACACACACTTGCACGCCGGCGCGCCATCTTTCGGGTAGTGGTATAGAACCCTTCCCGATCTCCGTGTAAACTAGACTGAAGGCTCTTTGCAGTATGTACACGCGATATCAAATGTGCGCCATAAAAAAAAAAAATGGTCGCAATGATGGCTGTGGAGTTTTCGTGTTTTCGGTATATACCGATAGACCCCGAACACTGTAAAGTCCCAACCTTTAGCCGTCCTCATATTAAAAAAGAAAATAAACTTAATGTTTTCCAAAATGCATTTTTGAAGGAAACCACCCCTCCCTAAATCTTGTCCGTCCGTCCGTCCGTCCATTTCCCGCTAAATTTATCGGGAAAATTGACGTGACGTGACGTATACACCATTAAAACTTGGGTTTGGGCTGGTTTGGTTTATTACTGAATGGAAGGTTCAAAAGCGCGAACAAACGGAGGCGACGAAGAAACACGGACGACAGGACACACTTTCGTCGTGACGTCCGTGTTTGTTCATTGTCCCCGTTCGTTTGCGCTTTTTAATCTTTTATTCGGTAGTAGACCCATTCGATTTCCCCGCCGTATTTCGGCGGGAAAATTGATGCCACGTGACCTGATGTTATGTCACGTACACGCCGATTCAAATTCCCCACTAAATTTGGCGGGAAGATTGATGTCGCGTGACCTATGTACTAATTTAGTTTTCCCACCATGACTGTTCAATGTCTTCTGTACTCGTTTTCACCTCAAAAACCGCAATAAAAAAAAGAAGTCCGGTTTTTGGTGGAGCATTACTAATTTCCCCTATTATCAAGAAAATGAAGATATCTGTCGGTGAATTTTAGACTATATATATATTTCATTTCATTTATTTCATTTATTATACTCTCAGGGCCCGAAGGCATTACAGAGAGGAGTGGAAATATATACATCAATATAAGGTGAACAATAAAACAAAACGCAAAAAACGAACAAAACACAAGGTACAGAATTGCTATGGAACATTGTTAAGAACATCAGTTATGGCGGTTTTAATATATATATATATATATTATCTTATCAAGACGTACGCAATTCAAACGCCAAAAAAACATTGCCTCTTCCTTTGACCACCAAATCCTGTAATAATTACTTCGCGCGGCGTATAAACAATGCGCAAAACTTGTTTTTTTTTAGGTGAAAACGAGTATAAAGAAATGTAAACGGTCGGTTCTAAATACTGCATTGCATACATTATGTAGAGATATGGTAATAAAGGTGGCTGCCTTAAAGAAATCTTTATCTAGAGTTTTAGTTTGTCTTGCTCCGGAACACTGCCGGCACTAAACCGCGAGCGATGTTTTTTTTTTGTTTTGTTTTTTTGTCTTTTTTTGTAACTGCGTTGTTTTTTTGCGTGTGTGTTTTTTGCGCGTACCGCACTACCAGAGTCTTTGAAACATATTTTTAAGACCGTGCCCCGCGGTCATGGTATCACCCGAGCACGCACTTAAAAGCATGTTTCAAAGGCTCCGGTAGTGCGATACACAGAACACGGTAACGGTTTGCTTTTAGCGAGTCGTTTTTCAAGCACACGGTTCCGAAATCACGAACGGTACAGCTGGTCCGTTCCGCGAAACCGTACGTCAAATTTGACATACTTTAGCGAATCGTGAAAGTGGCGCGACCGTGTAAACGATGATGATGATCGGGCTTAACGGTGGCGCCATCTTCTAGTAAACATGTGAAACATTCTGCAACGTGTAAATCCGTGACGACGGTGGCCCTCCTTGACGGTGGCGGGCAGCGTGGTGGCGGCTCGTGTTTCCGGCGTGCGACTGATGTAAACAAGACGGCCGACGTAACATTTGCCGGTCGGAATTTCAAGAACTGCGAAGCTAGATAGAGTAAAAAGTGTCTGAACGACCGTAAAGGTATGTGGTGTGTCTTCGTGAACGTGAACGATCGTTCACGTTGTGTGCCGTCGAACCAAATCATTTCGTCTGCTCGCGGTCGGCACGGCAGAGTCTGCCCGCAGATCGCAAAAATTTACTAGCATGCGCAGTTTACAGCATTCACGATCGCTTACCATTGTGAGCAGTCCTCGAAATGATTTGGTTCAAGTTCTCAAATGAAGCAGACTAACAGGACGGCAAATCGCCTCCTGCTGTCCTAAGCCTAACGCTCGGCTGGGTCGGCGAAGGCGGTCGCCGAACCGACCGCCATCTTTTTTTTTACCCGAGTCGTGAACGGTGCTGGCTGCGTTGCGGTGACGACTCCAGCGGCTGGAATGGGAGAAACGAACGAGAAGAGCCTCCCGACTCCCCGAACGACTCGCGCGCGCATGCGTAGTGGCGTCGCGGATGCGTTGGAGGGCGAACCGTTCGTGTGGAAACGACCTGCTAAAACTCCCTAATACCCTGTTCTCTCATCGGTACCTGGACGATTCCCCTTTATTCGGGCCACGAGTACGGTTCCTGGAGCCCCGATAAACACTTTTTTTTTGTCCAACATAAAAAATTGACAGAAAAAGAAACACTGAACATGCGAGAACAATAAACCCTAAAGATATCCTACAATTAAAAAAAAAAAACAAAAAAAACCCCAAAACACTTAATTTTATTTATATATCATTTTCAAAATTTTTTAAACTTTACAATGAAAATATGCAGCGCTGAAATGCCACGTATCACTGGTTCTCGTCTTGTTCTACCCTGTGTGTGCATGTTTCTTTCTGATGCCTCGTCTTCATCCTTATTTCGTCATACATCCGTCAGGAGTCAGCACTTTGTATTCTTTTCTCTTTTTCTCTGTTTTTGCATTGTTTTAATAGAATGAAACTCGTCGCGAATGTGTGAGCCAGCCTTAAGATGTGCACATAACCCTAAGCAGGCACTTGATTGACCAGCACATGCGCAAGGAGCAAATCAATGTGTCAGTTTATAAAACAAACCTACGGAGAGGCTATGTTACGTTACTCTTCACACAGCATGCTAAAAAACTTCGTGCCACGGGCCAAATTGGAATTTAGATGTTTCCACTCATTTAATTTTTTTAATATTTGAGGCTACTCTATAGATTAGTCTTAAACTCATCTCTCATGAGGCACATTACGGAAATTAGTCCAAGCAATCTACGATGTTTCGTTTCAGTAGAGTGTAGCTCAAAGGTGTATAAACTCAAAATTTGTCCGAGACCGAAAGTTGGCGTGCAGGTAAGCAAACACGTAAAAATATTGAAGGTGCGGAAATTTAAGTATGTAAGTGATTTCTTGTTGCCAAAATCTTCTTTAAAATAAGTTCAGAAAAAAAAGTGGACACATTTTTCTTATATAGCGCTATGAAAAGTGACTCGAGCAAGCAGTTGTACCTTGGGTGTCTTCCTTTGTTTTGCCCATAATTTAATTTAAAAAAAAACAGCTTTTTTATGTATTTTATTTTGATTGAAACTAAGTGTATAAACAAATATGGTGTACATATTCAATAGTGGTAATACGTTTTCAAAAATTAAACTTAAAAAAAAAAAGAAAAAAAAAGATCTGTGATAAGCGAGCGATCGCGAGGTTAGCTTAGCCACAATACTCGGTTGTCTAACAGACAAAGCACGCTTTACAGGAGCCTGTCTGTTGGCGTAGCGGTCGAAACAAACAGGTTCACGCGTCCCTCACAGCGAAAACATCCCTAATCTAATTGGGCTACCGTAGCGCGCGATTCTGCACACAGCTCTCGAGATCGAGTGTGCACTTTTGCCCTGGCTCGCGTCATCCAATGAGGGCTATTCCGCCCCCCCCCCCCCCCCCCCCCCCCCCCTCAAACACCATCCCCTGTTTCTCGTTTAGCCCTGAACGCTTGAAGAGGATGACAGATGATGGCGGGGGGTGTATTTTTAGAGGAACCTTCTTTCAATCGCCATCGTTTATTCTTGTGCACCCCCCGGCGGCGGTTCAATACGTTCCCCACACAGCTTCCTAAGTTTATTTCTTTTTTTTTTTTATTATAGTTTGTTGCTTAAAGGCGATCGGAAGCTATGTCGTTCCCCCGTTTATTACTGCGCCGGTTGCTCGCGTTGTGGTGTTTGTTTACGCTGATCGCGGAGTAGCCCTATAGAGTTTCTCTCGACTGTTTAGGGCCGTTCCGAAGCGTTAAGCTGGGCGTCGGTGGCACTAATCTATTCTTGGGATCCCATCTCCGCTTGGTGCCTATACTCTGTTTCACTTTTCAGTAGACGCTACCATCCTAGCGAGCGAATCAAGACGTGCCAAAAGTGCACAGTCACTGCGCTCCTAGTTTTTGTGCGCTCGCCCATCAACGACTAAACCATTCTCGCACAGTTCGTATACTGCGATTTTTTTATTGATGTAGTTTTTAAAGGAGCACACAGTGTCATTTCTTGTTTGGACGATGTCAGGCTTAGGTGGACGTCGGCTCGTAGAAAATTTTTGTCTTTCCCAATGATCTTTTTGATCCACAGATAACGCCATGTTGGCAAACTTTCGCGTTCTATCCCAACCGCTAGCGTCACATGCTCGCGGAGTTTGAGCTTTCTCAGATGCATAGTTTATTTATCGGTGCCTAAAAAACACGGTTATCTTTTTTTCGGGAACGCCCTGTATATTAAAAAAAAAAGGCAGTAACAACAATCAGAAAAGTTTTGGATATATGACACCAACGAAGTCTTAATTGCCTGAGGCTATTTTTGCGAAAGAAAAATGTTCTGTTGGCATAAATGTGTGGTTACAATGTATAATGCTAATTATGACCTGTAATGTCGAGAATCATTTTTTTTTTCTAATACTGTTATTCAACAAAATCTGTTCGTAGTGGCAACTATAGATATATCTAAACGTTTTGAGCATATAATTGCCCCAACTGTACAATCAGGTAGCGTTCGAAGCATTTCCTTAATTTTTTATGTTGAATTAGGCGACGAATCGCTGTTACGACTCGTCCCAATCCGCAAAAATGCCAACATAATAATAGCTATCACAGTTTCTTCATCACCATTCAAATTTCTGTTAGTGTTACGTGCGAACTATCGATAACTAAAGAGAAAAAAAATACTACTTACTCCGACGTAGAGAACCCAAAGTATAAGAAGCAAGACGATGAGGATGAGGTAATTGATGAACAAGCTCTGTCCCTCTTTGGTATCCATGGCGGACACGATCTTTCGGAGCAGACGACGTTCGCGGCGTTGCCAAAAACACCCAATAGCTCGTTGGGATTCTTTCAGATGCGGGGGTGAGCGGTGCTTTTTAGTCGCCGATCGGGGGACCCGATTGGCTGCTTACTGTTGTGACGTAGCTCTCTTTTGCGTCGGCTGCTTGTTTTGATTGGCCTGTGACCGGAGAAGGACGGCTAATCGCCGTCGGCGTTCAAAGTTTTCGGTCGGGCGGCGTCTGCTTTTCGTCTGCTCGCTTGCGCGTCGTCTGCTAGCATCTGTTCCTCTTGAGAGCTCGCGGCACTTTTAAAAACTAGGCGGTTGCGATGCAACGCGGGGGGGACGTTGGTAATATTTAGAAAGAGAGATGGAATGACCTGCATTTATGTTTAGCCTCTGTTTGTCTGAGTATCTGGACGTGCTCCTGGTTTGTCTGTTTATTTTATTATTATTATTTTGAGGGAGGCTAGATATAGAATGAGATTTCGAAAATATGAGCAGGGCAGGCGCACTTGACAAGATAGGGTTATAAAACAAAAAAAAAATACATTCCACTTTTTAAATTTAAAAAAAAAAAAACGGAATTGTTTTTTTTAAGTTACTTTTGGTTTCGAATTCTTATAAACGTATTAGTAAAGTTATTGCTGTCAGTAAAGAGAAAGATAGAACAGAAACCAACTAGAAATACTGAGTTTTACACAACGCCCCATACAGAAGCCAAAAACCTATTTTTCGGTCCGCATAATTGAACTCGCATTGCAGGAAGCGGAACCTCCGTGCGAATAAGCCGCTACTGGCGGTGATAGAATACAAAAATTTGACAACGCGATGTTACCTGAATCAAGAAATAAAACCAAAAAACGAAAAAAAGAGAGAAAAAAAATTGTGAATGTCTGTAACATTTCTTTCAGAAAAGAAAAAAGAAAAGCTTGCTGGCAAGGAAAAAAAGATTGTCCTTTTTGCCGACAACTTTTGTTTCTTTGGTTTTCACTAAAATGAATGTTATAAGCGCCCACGATGCCATTTCAGTTTAACGCATATCAGGGCTGAGTGGACGTCGGATCATAGAAACATTTATACATCCAGGTTTATGTCTTGCTCTGATACATTCGTGCTCTATCACCACCGCTAGCGCCACATTATCGCGGAGTTTCAGCTTTCTGCAATGCGTAGTTTATTTATCAGGGCCGAAAGACAAGTTTTTATATTTTAAATCAGACCCTGCACGTTCCTAACTTTACGATCGGGAATATCTGTTTGCAATTTCCTAGGAATGCTTCCTAATACAACGAAAATGTCGTTATCTGAAACTACTTCGACTTAAGCTTTCCCATTCATTGTATTGTTATTTTTCTTAAAAGGAGAAACAACGACAACAGTAATAATGAGCGAAGGGACAGTTTAAAAAAATTGGACCATACCGCTATTGTCATGTATGCCGATAAAACACTTCGTTTTTATCCTGGGGCTACGACTTCAAACGATGCGCTCGTGTGTGGGTATGATTCTCCCAGAATAGCTCGACACAACCAATAAAAACATAATAAGGGGTTCGTTCGAACTATAAACAACCGCATCAACGCACCGAAAAAAAAAAAAAGAACCTTAAAGCGGAAAGTATTCGAAATAGGGGACGCCACACCTATCGTCACTGATAGGGATGCACAGCAGTGGCGCCATCTCGTGTCATTAACAAAAACACGGTCCCAAGGTTCGTCTGCGTCTTTCGCAGGGGTCATGGTGACGTCAGAACGCCAAGCTCTGATTGGTTCTGATTGAAGGATAGTGGGTATACCTTAAGGCAGCTCGCTTTGATCTCTACCCACTATCCTTCAATCAGAGCCAATCAGAACATTGCGTCGTTGTGACGTCACCACAACCCCCGCAAAAGAAGCAGACGAACTTGCTCTCCGCATAGTGACGACGTACGGAAAGGGAAAGGCGCCGGCCTTGAGAACCGCAGTGAAAAAAAGTCCGGGTTTTCGCCTAGCATTACTGATGCACTCTTTTATTAAGATAGATGTAAGTAGAAGTTAAAACTAGATTGCCGTTACTTTATCGAGACGTGCAAGTTGTTTCAAACGCCAAAAAGCTTTGTTTGCTATTCCGACAACCGAATCTTGTAAGAACTATTACTTCGCGCAGCATATGAACAAAACGCAAAGCTTCTTTTTTTTTTTCTCTCTATTATTTAAGAGTCTTTGCGCGTCGTCGCCATTATTTATCTCCATACGCAAGCCGTTTGTGTATACCGGCTGTAGTAAAACTCGCTGTTTAATCACGCGCGAAAATATTTCAAGCGATATTAGACAATTTTAGTGGACCGCACGCAAAAACTTTGCGTACGCAAAGAAACTGCGTGTCGGGAGTGCCCATGCGCATAGCGCAATAGAAGGACTGGCGTAGCTACATACACACGTGACGCTGTTTCTTTTTTTTTTTTTTTTTTTTTGTTTTCGCGTTGCGGGCTAGCGGGCTTTGCGGGAAGCTCTCGAGAAGTCTCGGGCCGGGCGAGAGTACCAGTTTCAAGATGGCGGTTACCTCAACTGGCGCAGCAAGGGCGACGTGGTGTTCGCGATGTTCAGTGTTACGTAAGGTTATACGTGGTGTTCGGCTCGGTAATTCTTCCCAGGACCTACCGCGGTCGAACCAGATTGCCGTGCGACTGAAGGAATGCATAGCGAAAATGGTCACCGTTAGCAATGTGTGTGAACGCTGCGATCTTCCCAACGCTAGGCCTCTTCGTGCAGTTCATCGTCCGACGGACGAACGACTCTTCAAAAACATGGAAGTAGTTTACAATTCTATGTAATGCCGATTTAGAGCGCAGCTCTAGAGAAGGAGGAGGGGACGTTACGGAAGGGAGCGTACGCCCCTCCTCCCTCTCCCCTCTCATTTAACGGGAATATTTCCCCGCTAAATTTAGCGGAGAAATGTCCCATAATGCAACCCGTGGTTAACTGAGCATAATGCAACGCCGACGCACGGCTCAACCCGGAACTGGGCGCTTAAGAGCTGAGCTCTAAAATATGACCCCAAGTTCGCCGTGCATTAGACGTCAGTAGGTCGTAGATTTCTTCCCGCGATAGTATTGATAAAAGGTGCCGTTTCCACGGGACGAATTGACGGAGATTTCGCGATCGAATTTGGCTACGCACATCCATACCCCGCAAAAAACAAACAAAAAAAAACGCTTTTGATCAGGAAGCTGCGGCTTGGCTTCAATTTGAAATCAAATGATTGGAAACGTTTTCGTTTTGAAGACTTCTTTCCAGCCTATTCGCTCCGTAAGCACGCGGAACTCTGCGGCTCTGGCAAATCGAATCAAGAAGATCACTTGGCAATATCTTAAACGTGCGCGACCAAGAACGTCGCCATTATCGCCCTTGCACGATCGGTCAAACGCTAACTGTAAGGGCAGTCCTAAAGCTATGGCTGTCTTTGTCTCCCGTGCACTCGTCGAACGCTTTAGAACGCGTAATGCTGGCGTCCGGCATTTGACTCTCGCATTCAAACGCGTTGGACAGGCGCAGTGGAGACAAAGGCAGCTAAGCTTCCTTCAACACGCGCACGAGTTATTTTTTTTTTTTTCGTCGTTCTTCAGCTGCGCGTGCATCCTCGAAGCTCGCGACAGCCGGAAGCGTTATCGAAGGAAGAGTCACCGACAACTTAGGGTGTGGCGAGTCGCGTACGTCTCATCATCGTGGCTCAGCAGCCAATCAGATTGCGGCATTGGCCGATAAGAACCCCGATGGACCAATCGCGAAGAAGGAAGCGTGAACGTAGGAGCCACCTTGCGTTCCTTCTGCTACCGGTCGACGATAGAAGGCTCGCTTGGAGGAAGAGCGGATAACTGAAATCCCTCCCTGCCATTCTTTTCTTGTCGGTGACTACGAAGTACACTTTTTTTTTTTCGACAGAAACACAACAATCAATTTTTTTTTATACGTCACGCTACAAATGATTTCAAACAAGCATTTTTTCCAACCTATAATAAAGACACACCTACCGACAGAGTTAATGAAATCAAAGCAATTTGAGTTTTTATGGCACTAAACCGACTTCCAAATTCTGAGAAGAGAGAGACAGAGAAAACAAGTGACCTGATTTAAACTATCCGACAAAGAGTTATTACTCTGTTGGAAACGTATTAGCATACTGAACCACAATAAAATAAACCGCAGTTGTTTACAAAAAAAAAAAAACAAAAAAAAAAAAACAGACAGGTATATTTTGTTGAAGCCTCAACCACTGTCCTCATACATCAATCAAAAGACACGGTTTGCAGACTGTCTACGGTTCCCCAAAAGCATCGCGATCGACATCAAACTCCCGCGTAATTTAAACTGAAAAAAAAAAAAACGGTTGTCCCTAACGTCGCACAACCACGTGACGTGACGATGTCGGATCACGGCGTTCCCATACGTCGCGTGAACGTAAGGTCGCATCACAGTGTCACGTGACCTCATGGTGTAATCCGAGGTGACGTCATCACGTCACGTGTGGCGATGTCACGGCGTCACCTGACGTCACGCGACGAAACTATTCGCCTTCGTTCGGCGTCCGCATGCCGGACTCTGCGCGGGGAGCGGACGGAATTGCTTTCGTGCGCTCTGATTGAAGGAAGACGGTGGAGAGAGGCAAAGGGCAGCTAGCCTTTGCCTATACCCACTAATCCAGCCAATCAGAGCCCGGCGCTTTGAGGTCACCATACGCGCTCTCGTTTTCAGTCGGGAGACAAAACGTGTGGCGCGTGTTTTGAGCTGCGTTCTAAGTGCTTATTTATGAGTTGTTTATTTATTTTTTCTGGGGTTGGGACTCACAATAAATTTCGCTAAATGTAATGTAGTGCCCTTTTATGCGACTTTTTTTTTTTTAATAAAACCCTAGTTCTTGATTTATTTTGTGTGACCCGAAGACTAAGATACGTTTTATTTTTCTCTTTTTAGAGAAACCTTTTACAGTCCGAACTCGCGTGTCATCTGGTGTCAGTCAGAAATTATCCTAAGTATACCTTCGTAACACTGCAATATAAGCGTGGTTTTTGTGACTCGGTGCCGAGTATGATGCGGCCTAAACTTAAACTTTTATGTCGAGCAGCTACGCAAGCAGTATTTTTTTCTTTTTTAAAAACCTTCGAAGGTTAAGAATTAAATTGGAACAGGTGAGTCGAGAAGTGAAATTGGCAGCTTTTTATATTTTATTGTGCCAATTGTAGTGTGTGTTAGCTCTGTCTGGAAGCCAGTTATCGATCAAAACATTTATAGTTTTCAGAAAGAAC